AGCCACTCCTCCCCAAGCCTGTAGTGTTGCATGGGGTTGTTGTGACTGAAGTGCAGGACCCGGCACTGAGCCTTGTTGAATCTCATACAGTTGGCCCTGGCTCATCGATCCAGCCTGTCCAGGTCCCTCTGTAGGGCCTTCTTACCCTCCAGCAGATCGACAGTTCCACTAGATGATTTTGGGCTTCTTATCAGGAAATATAGACAAAACTTTGCAATTTAACCTGTAAATTCCTGAGGTCAAGCTTGAAGCATCAATGCTGAATAATAGTAATAAAGATAAATGATAATGAAGTCCAAAGCCAAAAGCTAGTCTAAAACTTCCCATTATATCTGAGTTATGTACAGAAATATTCCTCTGAATGGGAGCCTTAGTGTATCATCTTCAGCCTACTGAAAGCATGAAATGACTCATGACACTCACTGAATATTTTTGAAAAGGAATTCCTTGCAAAAAATTAGGATTTAGGAAGCCCCATGTTACTAAAATTCAGTATCAGAACACTATTATTTGACCAATTATATTTTTGGACAAATGACATATTTAAGGCTCAATATTGTCATGTACTATCAGAAGTAAAAATAGTTTTATTTTAATAAAAATAGGTTGATAACTTCCTCTGAACAGTATAAAACAGTAATCCTGTCAGGTCAGGCCATAATTAGACCTGAATCATGACATTATTGTTATACAAAGAACAATTTCAGATATATTAAGAGGATTTAATTCAGTATTAATCACAGTTTTTCTCTTCCTTCATCTTTAAATTTTTGGAAACAGTATGTTGAGGCAGATTTGGCTGTAAAGTAAATGGGAAAACAGCAATGCAATTTTGTGTCTCCTAAAATATCCTCTGTGGCTTTTTTTTTCTGTGAAACATGGCACAATCCTCACATGTAGAACTGCCGCATGTAGGGCACAAGTATTTTGTGCAAGACAGCAAGCAACTCTGTTAGCACTTGAAATGGCCTGAAATTTGTACAAATCATGCCAATGGCTTTGAAAAGTGACATGAGATATTTTGCAAATGCAACTGAGATATCTAACAAATGCAACAAGAACAACTTTGTTATGCTGTCTGGTCTGAAAAGCAATGTTTTTAGCATATGTTGTTAATAGGAGCCTATTAACTATAGCCTATACTTGATCACTTCCCAAATAAGCTGTTTAAACACAAAGCATTAGGCTAGAAAGCTGAGCAATTTCACAGAGGATGGGGGTTAACAGTACTAAATCCTGTTTGATCTGCTGAGAAATTCAATCCAGCAAGAGCATGATTTTACTTAATGCGTCGGGCGAGGAAGTTGCCAGAGGTGGGACATTTTCCTCCTGGCTGCGGTCGGGCTGCCAGAGCTGGCCCATCTGCCATTACATGGAGTCCTGCCATCCCCCTTCCTCATGGTCCCACTCCCTTTTGCTGCGTGTTTGTACGTGTGCGCGCGCATGTGTATTCATGTCTGAGCTCCTTTTTTTCTGGCAGCTGCTGTAGGTGAGTTGTGGATGCATTTTTGGAAGTCTTCCAAGGCACAGATACTCCCAACCCACAAGAAGGTGCCTCATTCTCCAGGAGGAGGCTACCCAGCTGAGATACGTACCATTAACGACTAAAGAGAAGCAGTTTTTCCCTAGTGTGCTGATGCACGGATACATTCACTACTGTGGGTGCCTCTGAGGGCTGCCTGACAAAGCCAAGAGCACAAGGGAGCTGTACAGATAGCGTTTTCCTCTCGTGCACATCCTGCATGTGGCAGATTCACTGTGTGCTTCCTTGCAATGCGCTAGGGCAGGGTCTTGGAGAAGGATGGAAAATTTGTCAAAATGTTGCCCCTTTAACAGAAAGCTGGGTGAGTTCCCTTGCTTTTAATAGAACGTACCTTTCTTTTACTGCTGCTAATGCAGAAAGCAGCTGATCATATTCTGTGGGGCTCATGTTATTTTTGTAGTACTTTGTCTCTGGAACAAACCAGAGCATATTGCATGTCAAGAGTGGTAAGGATTTTATGAAGGATGACAGGCCATGTATTCCCATGGATGCTCTTCACTTCCTCCAGACCTCTGAGAGAAGTTGAGTGCTCTACTGTACCAGCAGAGACATAGTAGCTCCTTAAAAATAGAAAGGATTGCCATTTGTCACTTTAAAGTGCATTCAACATGCACTCGCCTATTTGGGCTGTTAGAGCATTTCGTCATGCACTTGTGCAACACCTCATCCTAATCCACAATTGCAGCTCTTTGCTTCTGCTGTCATACAGTGATGATAAATTAATGTCTGGCTTGGCAATATTGCTACAGTCTCCAATTATGAGAAAGTGTTTTCATTTAGAGAAGAGAAATCAAATGGCAGATTCCACCGTCTCACCCTTCCTGTCTGTGAACAAGCTAGTCCTTGTTATAAACCCCATGTAACTTGCTGTGGGGGAGGAGGCATTGTGGCAGCCCCCCACCCTTAAAATAAAGGTAGTGCTTCAGTAGTTATTTCTTGGGGATCTTTTCTAGTAGAGTTAACTATTTCAAAAAGAGAAGGAAAGGGTTTCTTGAAAACCAAATACAAAGGTTTCACAAGTAGCAAGAACCAGAGCAGGCAGAGGTGAAATGCATTGCAAACATGATGCTCCTTCCAAACCCAAAATCACCAGCACAGAAGTAACAATAGGTTGTTGTTCACCATCCAAAGTCTGAGACTGTTTCTGTATGTAATGCAGAGTGGACAGCCAGAATTCCTGGATAACCAGCTTCCTCAGCTGTGCTCTCACAAGGCAAGCACTGCTGCCTTGGGCTGATCAGCTTGAACTCATACATAACACCCTGGCTGAGACCAAGAAGATGACTGGAATTGCTCAGAACTACCTTACCAAGAATAAACATCCATGGAGCCATAGAGCCACTGCTCTCCAGTGCTGCTCTCAAGGGCTCACTGAGTTTCCTGGAGACACAAAAATCAACTGCCAAGTAGCACTCCTGGCCTACTGGAGTGGCTGCACTGGTACGGTCTCTCAGAAAGGACCACAGGCTACTTTTAGGCTGGGGAAGTTTCTAGGTATGTGTTTCTGTCCATGCTACAAAGAGCCATGGAAACCTGTGGCAGGCAAGCGTTAATAATATTGTTTCCTTGGTTTTCATGTTATACATATGTCAGGATATGGTCATGAATGCATACACTAATTTTGTTCAGTGCCCTCACAACCTTAGAGAGAGTGAAGGCAGGGAGCCTTTGCAAGCAGCATTATTTGGTATCTTCAAGCCTGTGGACAGAGGCAGAGAGCTGGGAGGAATGAAGGGGGTCCCCCATCACGTGTAGAAACTGCTAAGTTATAGACAGCAGAGGGATAGCCAAGACAGCAGGATGCACGGAGTGCTTACACGAGTGGAGGAGTGAAGACAGCATGGGTAGCCATACCTCCTCTTTATATCTCCCAGCTGCTGCTCCTTGGGCAAGGCTTAGCTCACAGACCACAAAGTCTTCATGACAGAACAGCAGCTGGGAGATATAAAGGCAGGGATTTGAATGTGGTGTGTATTTTAAAACATGAAAACACTGCAACAGAGTCCAAACCCTCCTCATCCTTTCCCCTGCCCAGACTACCTTCAGCACCATTAATCTCAAGGAAAAACTAGATTGGCCTTTGAGCTAGGGCATTCCTCTCTGATTACAGTGTTTGGACAAAGCAGTGTCGGCTAAGCCCCAGATGCTAGAGCTGTGCATTAGAGGCATTCCCATCCCCAGCTGGAGAATGCTATGTTAAGGGACTGCCACCTGGCAGCATCTTCAAGGAACTGCAAAAACGCTAAGCTGAGACAGAGGTTGGTGAGCATCAGCCTTCTGGGAGACCTGCAGATGCACTCAGGAAGGAGAGATCAGGCTTGAGCCAGACTGGTGCTGCCGATTGAACTCTTTGGCATTAAGAGGCTGCTACTGTGATAAAAGACACTAGGATGGTGAAACGTTTGATATGATGACCATCTTATCAGGGACTTTCCCACTCAGTTAAAAAGTTGTTTTTCTTTTGAGAAAAATCCCACTGTTTTCCCTTTCTTACTTCAAGATGGCTGAAGAAGCCTGACCTAGTTGTACTCAGTCATTGCTCCTTTTTAGCTAAGAGCCAAGCTCTTAGCTAAAAGCTTTTTTCTGTGTTGTGACAAGCTGGCAGATGAAACAAGAGCATCTCCTCAACACATGCTCTGGCTTTTCCCCCAAATAAGTCTCTCAGCCAGCTTGCCTAAAGCTTTCTGAACTAGCCGACTTTGAAAGGGAGCACACAGCAAGTGGTAAGTCATTTCTCTAACATTTCAGAAGACTTCAGTTGTCCTACACTTTAGAAAGTGTCCTCTGTTGCCAATATCACAGGAAACAAACTTCTAAACTTTTGTTTGTAAACAGAGACCTGCATGAACAAGACAAATTTGAGGCTTAGCTGAGCCTCAAAGGTTCTTACCTTTTGCCAATAGCCGCTGTGCTTAGCAGGTGAAGGTCCCTTGACCAGCGAATGAACTCCAGGCATTACTATTGGTAATAGTAAGCTTGGGTTATCTTTCTGTAATTTATATACAAATTTGCATACAGAAAAAAGCTCAAGAGAGATTGAGAGCTGGAGAGATTGAGTCCCTTTCCATTTTTAGAGTCAGCACAAACAGTAGGCTAAGGTTCTGAACCACATCACTAACACACCTTCAGCTGTGACCTCTTAAGGATCTTTGCTAGATGTGACAGCTCAGCTAAGCCTGCTGAGCCAAGAATGACCTATGTGTGCTCATATATGGAGGCTATGAAGAAGTTTGCCAATGAGTACCACATGAACATCTTTTTTCAAGAAAGATATGAGAAAAGCCTACTCTGCCATTTATGCAAGTCACCGGACAGACACTGACCTGGGACCAGTGTTGATGACCTAGGTGTGAAAGTATCTGTGTACTCCCCTGCAGATGCCCCGTGCTTCCCAGATCCCTCTCATCCCCTGAACTTTGCAGAGCTGAATTCAGCAGGGAGGACTGTGATGACTTACCAGTCTGTGTGCGCATCATCGATCACCAGGAGGATCTTGGGTTTCTGGGCCAGAGGTGGTGCGGGGCTGGCCGAGTGGTCGATTAGTCCTGCAGCCGCTTGTGTGGTTTGCTTCATGGCACTGGAGATGGAGCTGAAGATGCTGGTGCCAGCAGAGGAAGAGTGCGAGGGCTGTGGTGGCTGCGGATGCTTTCTCTCCATGGCAGGAGAAACCGGGGAGCTCGTGGAGTTGTCAGGGCGCTGCAAGTCCATCATATAGCCATTGGGCAAATTCGCCACAAAACTACTGTCTGAGAGACGCCTCCGGAGGAAATTCATTGTTGAAGCGTTGTGTGGAAACCTTCTCAGCAAGAGCGAGGCTGAACAACGGTGTCACCAGTCCTGGGGAAGTTTTCTCTGTGTATGTAGGGTACCTCCTTGCAGTCCAGGCAGGCAGGCTTTCCCCCTTGAAATCCTGCTAGAGAAATATGCCTTTGTTTTTCAGCTATATTTTCTTTCTCTCCTGTGGGAAGAGCATCAAATACATATATGTGAGATACATATTGTGAGTCTGAGATAAGAAAAACTCTTTTGGCCATTTAAATGGGTACTTTAATCAACAATGAGAGGAAAAAGGACTACTGTTTTTTATGCAGTATGCTGCAGTAGTACAGACAAACAGATACGACAAAGTATGTTTCATGGTTCTCTCTCATCCAAAAACATTTTCAAGTTGGGGCAGACCAGCTTACACTAGCTTAGGGGCTAACAATTCTATAACTGTTCCCTATGGGGAAAGAAAAATTACTCTGACTGTAAATGTTAATTTTCAAAAGAAAGACAGCACATTTCTGGTATTATGTGTGTTAGAAATAACACATGCTTGTTACAGAATAACCAGCAAATGATCCAATGGGATAAAAAGTTGTATCACCTTTGGCAGGCTTGTAAGCAAAGCTCTGCGTTTAAGGAACAAACATCCTAAATCAAAATAGCATGTAGAAAATAAATAGTGGAAAAAACCCCATACACATCTTGATCAAGTTCAGTGGCTGCTTCAAACTACTCATTTCTGTCCCTGCTGCTCTCGGCACTCAAAATTAGACTTTGAGCCAGGTGCATACTAGTGGTTGCTAGACATAGCAGATTACCTGATTTTACAAGTTCACTTGTAGGATTTTTGCAGGTACTCAAAACTGGAAGTTTGGCTGCCTAAACCTCACATACTTTTTTTTTTTTGGCTCTTGTTGGGTTTTTTGTTTTGTTTTGTTTTAAGAAGAAAGGTCTCTTACTCTGCTCATCTTTTCCAGTAAGAAAATGAACACTGTGAAATATAACTATCTGGCTCTTTTCCCTTGACCATAGTATGACGTCTTTGTTTTTACCCAGAACACTAAGTTTTTCAGCAGTTACATAATATCACAGAGTTAATAGTCACTTTTTTTTTTTATTTAATTTTGCACCTGTAGGCACAGCCCAGAAATGAGAGTTCCACAGTAATTCCCCAAGACCTTTTATCTGCTGAGACAGCCTTTGAGTCTTGACCAGAGGCTGGTTGGTGACATTTAGGTGGGGCGGGGGGGAAGATAGAAACATATTGCTGGTAACATAAATGTTTTTCAAGACAGATGTGTCTGAAGCAACAAAAGTGAGAGTTATCCCATACATCAAGTGAGACGAGTCACATGAATTCCTGGTATCATCGTTAAATCATGCCCCAACCCCCTTCAAGTCTTTTTGAATGAGCCCCCTACAAACGCTGGGGCTCCTTGCCCTGACCTGCCTGGTTTGGTCTCCCTCACTGCTCACGCTCTTGTCCCAGTCTCTGATTGCCTCCTGATGGCAGGAAATTGTCTTTGCCTCGTTGGTCCAAGAGAGCTCGGCATCTGTGAATCTCCCTCCTGGAGCTGTGGCTGAGAGCTCATGGAGCAACTAAAGAGCTTTCTTAAAATAAAATACCATTTATTTTCACCTATAGGGATTTACAAAGCTTTAGAGATAAAGGATTCAGACCTGTCTATGCCTGTACCTCTCTCAGCCTCCAGAGTCTTAGGGAGGCTCGGATGAGCCTGGCTGGAGTAAGCAAGCTACAAAGAGTCCCTTGGCACATGTCCCCCAAATCTCGTCATCCATCACCACCCCAACCCCGTGGGCACAGGATTCGTCTGGAGCAGAGGGCTCCCTGCTGAAGCTGCTGACATCAGCTTATTAGAGCAATTTTTCTTTTGATTTCTCAGCCCTGGCAGTACAAGTCGTCTGACTTTGCTGGAGCCTGGAGGTAGTCTTTTCCCAGGGAATAGCTCAGGAAATCTTTAATGACTTCCTGCCACATTTACAGTCGATAACGTATCTCGAGGCATTGTGCTGACTTCCCGCCTGGTCCTGGCGTGCCTGGTGACTGCACAACATCAGCAAACACATGCACTGGTGAGCGCTTCAGTAGCACCGTTTATGCAGCAATTGTTCCAAAAAGCTGGTAACATACAATATCCATTAGTTATGAGCTAGCTACTCACCTCATACATATACCCACACAGCACTTGGCCTACTCATGTCCTACTGCAGTGACTGTGGATGCCACCACAGAGCCATCCACAGTTACCTGTCCTGGATGACCAGAGTGGTAGAGACTACAAAGACTTTAGGGGATTTATATATTACAGGCTAGGTAAAAATGCTCTGCGCTGTCCTTGGCTCAGGAACCTGAATTTTCTGCCTTGCGTAACACAAATAAGAAAAATCCCCTCACTTTAATGACAGTCCACTGAAGAGTAGTTCTGGTCCTGATTAAGAGGAGCATCCCAGAGGTCTGTCTACTGTCAGAAGGGCTCCAAATGACTATCCTGTTACTGTGTACGGCAATTAGGTATGCTCTTTTGGAGGACCTTGGCGTTAACTGGCAAAAGGTAGGACGTAATTTCTATACCAGTTGCAGGAGAAGTGGTTTTAGCACAAGATGCCTGCCCCTTGCACGCTTAGCACAGCATCGCACAGAGCTGCTGGCTCCTGCTGTGGCAGCTCTCAGCCGCAGGAGGGAACCTGGCCCCAGCCATACAGGCTGGACAAGGCTCTTTTCACACGCCAGGATCCTTGAGACAAGGTCCAGCAGGACTTGCATACTCTTGAAAGTGTTTCTCCCCCACTGCCAGGCGCTTGCATGGCTGCTTCCTCCTCTGCGAGATTTGCACTCTCCAAAAGAACGTGAGCTCCTTACAAAGCATCGGCAAGTAAAGCAACGGGCAAATGCCTCTGCTCTGCTCTGCCCTGCACTGCGGAAGAAGGGCATGGAGGCATGCGGGTGTCCCAGGGCTGGGAAGGGCCAAAGTATCCCATGACGCGCTTGGAAGGCACACAGGTTTCCTCCGCAACAGGGTTTCCCAAATTGTGCCCTTCAGTGCACTGTTTCCAATAAACAATTTATCATACTTATTGCAAGGCCATGACCACTCGCCTCCTGGACCCTTTTAAACAGCAATATTTACAGTCACCCATCATTTTTTCCACCAGGTGTTTGGTAGTGGAAGATGTTGCCCTGGAGACACTGGGAGCTGGCAAAGCTCTCTCATCCAGAGAGTTTGGGATGCTGCTCTGAGGCTGGCCTTGCCCTCTGCTGGCTGGCACTGCCTCCACTTGCTGCGAAGACTGGGCTGTGTGCCGTTGGCTCAGGAAAGAAGGAGAGAAAAACCTAAGCAACTGATGTCACAGGGAAATCTCCTTCCAGCAAAGCACACGGAGGCTAAATCCAAACAGGATGACACTGGTGCAGCAGAGTAATGCCTGGCTCTACTCTGGGATGGGGGATGGCAAACCTGCCAGGAACTTTGACTTTGGGTCTGTTGAAGCTGTAGCACAGACAGTCCTCCTCTCATTACATACATTCTTCTAATGAGCTGGGTAATGTAATTAAAATAGACTTTATCTTTTTTTAAAAATGAAGTTATTGGTGGCTTCGCTGTATTGATTTATCGATTGCCATTAGTGCCACCACAGAGGAGATCTTCACAATGGGAGCAGTGTAAACTGCCAGCAGATTCCTTTGCTTACTGGAAAACCTCATGGTCTGCTTCTGCATCATGCGCACTTGCTGTTATTTAACTTTCAGCAGTAGAAGTTTTCATACAGGCACAGGCTGAGTAGGCTAGGAGCTCATTTTCCTACTGCTTGAAACTCCCCGTGGACATCCTGAGGGCTCAGCATGCCAGGCCAAATCTGGCTCTGTGCAGCTCTCACAGCATGCAGCTCTCACGCAGCGCAGCATTGACCCAGTGTATATACAGATCCTACCCTAGCAGGCAAGCAGGGCTGTAACTTCAAAAGAAAGCCAGGAGCTAACACCTCCTTCAGAAGCAAGACAAATCTGCTAAGTGGCATTTTGTCACTCCAGAGCCACAGGTAGGAGAGCTGCTGGCTCTACACCATCAAGTTGTACGTTGCTTCTGTGTACACCAGTGTCTTCCTATGGCTCACATGGAGACAAGTCACCTACTTAATGCCGTGCCAGGCATGAACCTGCCCATAGGAAGGCCTGTAGCCCCCTGCACAGCTGAAATACAGCCCACGGGCTGCTTCCAGGAGAGGCAGCAGCTCCTGCTGAGTTCCTCAAGCTGCAATACAGCAGCTGCCTCCCACCACGCAGGAGTAACCTGCTGCTGTGTGAAACAGCTGCTCCCAAAGCTAGCTGGGAAAACAGTGAGCATCTGGGCTGTGGAGCTGCAGGTTGAGGATCTGGGCTATATTTCAGGATGGGGAAATAATAAACAAGGCATAGGAGAATGAGTGAGTCCTGAGGAAAGAGAGCAGGCAGGAGAGAAGGAGAGAGGAGGAGAAGGAGAAGGCACCAGCAGAAAGGGAGGAAGTAAGAGGGAATTGGCTTAAATGAAAGACAACACGGGAACACATGGAAATCCCAACAATGAGAGCACAGTCAAGGAATCAAAAGGAAACAATGTGGGCAACTAAATGAAGCAAGAGGAAGGTCAATTAGAGCTGACCTCGAAAACAACAGCAAAGAGGCTGGCACCGTCAGCCCCTTACTAGCATGCATTGAACTTCCTGGCTGATATTTTTGGAAGGGCAGGGGAGGGTAAGCAATCTGCTCCCTCAGCACGTTGACAGCAGCCAGGCACCTACCTGCTTTTTCTCAAGGATATACTCCACAGAGTTGCAAGTTATCTCAGAGTACCTGTTGACATGTGTTAGAAAACAAGAACAAAATGTTCACTTAAACCTCTTGTCGGGTTACTTTCTAATGCGCGGGAGCATCCAGAGGGAAGGAAACCATGCTTAGATTTCCCCTGAGCTTGTTATCTATGTCGTTAGGTAATGAACTGACATGACCA